GGGACACAGGGGGACACTCAAGGACACGGGGGACACGCCAGGGACACTCAAGGACACGGGGGGACACGCCAGGGACACGCCGGGGTACACCCAAGGACACGGGGGACACAGGGGGACACTCAAGGACACAGGGGACGTGGCGGGGGACACGGCGGGGGACACAGGGGGACACTCAAGGACACGGGGGACACGCCAGGGACACGGGGGGGGACACAGAGGGACACTCAACAACACGGGGGACACGCCAGGGACACGGCAGGGGACACACACGCGCGCGGCAGAGCACATTGGAGGACCCGGGACCAGGCGGGACGCGCAGGGCCGCGTGCGGAAGGGGACAGGAGGGGACAAAGGGACACTCGAGGCCACGCGAGGGTCCCACGAGCCACTCACCGTCCCCGCCCTCCACGGGGTAAGCGAAGGTGACGAGGACGCCGAAGGTGACGGGTTGGGGACAGCCGGGGACGCGCAGCGCCGTGGGGCCCGTCAGGGTGCGGGGCTCCACCTGCCGAGAGGTGGAGGGGCTCAGCGCACCTCGGGGACACTTTGGGGACACTTTGGGGACACGCTCACCTCCACGTCGGCCAGGGCGGAGCGCAGGGCGCAGGACCAGGTGACAAGACGTCGGTCGCGGTGAATCAACCCGGCCTCGTACAACCGGACGAAAGCCTCCGCCACCGCCCGTGAGAAACCCTGAGGGGACACAGTTGGGGACACCGGGGGACACTGGGGGACACTGGGGGGACCCTTGGGGACCGGGCTTACGGAGTCCATGGTGAAAGCGCAGCGGCTCCAGTCCAGCGACGCCCCCAGCGCCCGCAGCTGCTGCAGGATCTCGTCACCGTGCCTGGCGCAGGGGGGGTGACACGTCCTTGGGGTGTCACCCCGTGCCATTTTGTCACCCCATGCCATTTTGTCACCCCCGTGTCCCCGTTGTCACCCTCACCGGTCTTTCCAGGCCCAGACCTCTTGCAGGAACTGGGAGCGGGTCAGATCCTGACGCCGTAAACCTCGG